AAAATTTTATTAATTATTTACTAATCATTATTAACTAATAATTAACGGATAATTAACTAATAATTAATTAATTAACTACAATAAAAGTATAAATGCTTGCTACTAAAATGTAGCCCGTGAAATTCTGCATCGAATGGTATATAGAACATCTTTTAGACGTGGTGAAATAACGTAGAAATTAGCCAAATACTAAAAGTTTGCTAAACTTTTTTCTTTACTATTTTTTACAGTGTTTAGTATTTTGGCTATAAAATCGTTATTATTCAATGAAAATTAAAAACTTTTTTTACCATAATGATCAGCGAAAAATTCTCTACAAACTCTGATATGAAAGAAAATCTTCAGACTATCCTTTTTACTCATTTATGCGTAAAAAGAAAAAAGGACATGCTTTTTACGACCCGCACTGTATGTTTTATATTTGCAATCGTCTTCGAGAAGGTTGTCATATTTTATCAGCTACTACTGGTCGTCTTAAAGATATGCTTGAAAAACACCAGGTAAATTTAATTTAGTTTTTAATATTAAAATCTTAAATTTTTTGTATTAAAGATTTCATTAACAAAAGTGAAATATTTCGTTCTTGATCAAGCTGATCAGTATGAAAAAAAAAGAAGACTTTTCTTATTTAGTTTAATTTCATCTTTTTTTTTTTAAGAATGTTTGGCAAAAGTTTTGAACTTGATATTTGTAAATTAGAAACTCTTGGTTTACCATCAAAACATGAACGTTTTACATTTATGTTTTCTGCAACATTTTCTGACGAAATTCGAATATTAGCTCAACATTTTATACGTGATAATTATATATCTCTTGTTGTTGGTAAACTTGATGCTGCTAATGAAGATATAATACAAACTATTGAAAAAGTGCCAAATACATTTAAAAAAGATCGACTTTTTCAATTACTTGAACAAAATCTCAGTACGAAAAAGTTTTTTTATTTCGAAATTTAGCTTTTTTTTTTGCTTAGAATCTGAACGTTGTTTAATATTTGTTGAAACAACTCGAACAGCTGATTATATAAGTGTATTACTTACACAGAAAAACCTATTGAACGCAACAATGCATAATGAACGAACACAAGAACAATGAACTGAAGGTATACAACAATTTACTAATGGAATTTGTCAAATTCTTGTTGCAACATCAGTCGTTGCTCGTGGTTTAGATTTTCCTTTGGTTGATTATGTTATTAATTATGATTTACCAAATTCAATTGATATATATATTCATCGTATTGGTCGAACAGGTAAAATTAATCAAAAGTAATATTTTGAAAAAAAACTTTACGATTTTATTTTGTACAGGTCGTGCTGGTCATTTAGGTAGATCGATATCATTTTTTGATCCAGATCGAAATTCTGATCGTAAGACTGCACGTGATCTTATCTCAAAATTAAGCGAAGTAGTATGAAGATTTAGAATTTTGGTTTTTCATATAATATTTTGTTTCATTAGGTTGGTCAAGTCGTACCTGAATTTCTTAAACGATATGTTGATGATCCTTATTATATATTCAGTTGTGATGGTTATGGTGTACGAAATATTAACGTAAGATATAATTGCAGTTTTTTTTTTTTCAATCATTGAAATTTTCTTTCAGATAACTCATTTTAAAGCCAATGGTTTTGGTAATCAAAATTGAGCAGCTGGTTTTAGTGATGATGCAGCCATTTCTGATGCAACTGACGAAGAATCGGATGACATTGAATGATTTATTTTTATATTTATGGATTATGAAGTTATTGTGATTCGAACATTTCAGACATAATAATAAAGCAAAAAAAAGAACAGATTTTTTCATTCATCTACAGTGCTGTGAAAAATTATAGAATCACCCTCTTACTTTGATTTCTTTTGAATTTTTTTCTTTATTCCTGTGACACTCTTCTCAAAAGCACTGCCGTATATGGAATTGGATGTACTCTTTCAGAATATGAAACAAAAAATTGACTGTGTCATTTAGGTTTCGCAAAAACTAGATTAGAAGAGATGTCGTCTTTTTTTCACTGAAAAATTATAGAATCATCTGTAAAAACTCGTGTCATTTTGCCAGATTTTCGATTGTTTTCCACCGCAAGTACATCAATCGATGCAGCAGAGCGCTAGCTGTCTACTGACAAATAGGTTATTGGAAAATTCTGAAATTTTGAGTTAGAAAACCTGAATACAATGGATATAGAGACAAAACCCGGAAAAGGCCAATTTTTTGATGCAAGATCGAATTTTAATTTTCTCAAAGGAGTACATCGAGAAACAGCGTAAAAAAACTGCGTCTAGAGAAGTAGTTTTCATCGTGAATTATAAGCAGCAAAATCCATTTTTGAACTTAAACTGCCGTATTAGTCGAAATCACAATGTTCAACCTGTCTCATTGCTGAATATATAGAAATCATTTATTAACTTATATGAATATTAATTAAGAAACGATAATAATTGATACTTATTTGATATGCAAGGTACTATATAAAAAACGTCCTTCAGGTCTTCAAATTGGATACTCTGTATACCAATGGCATTGTTTAGGCCGAAATTCACTAAGAAAGAACAGAAACGTATAAGCAATGGAAAATGGGCCCCTAGTCATTTATCGACAGTTCATTAGTAACCTTGTGCAGAAAAGTGAGACGAGTTTTTCTATACTAAATCTACGGAGAATTTTCGATATTAAAGGTTGCTTTGAATTGAAAATATTGTAAAACATCATAGACGTGAGGGTGTTGGTGGGTGTCTTCGGTTAAACCATACCCACACCCACACCCTAGTTTTTCGTTTTCAAATGAAAAAAAACTTAATCTGGAGAATATTTTTTTTTTGAAATTGATTTCGTCCCTTTTGAATACAATATATAAACAAACACGTACTCTCTTCAATCCAAATCCATGACCACACCTACACTAACACTCGAAGTTATACATTAGGCACTTACTTATTCAGCTATCTTCTCTCACTATTTTTTTAATATTCGTCATTTTTGGCATTATTCATCAGTTCATTTAAGAATAGTATTCAATAGTGAAATGAACAATTATTATATCTTTTAAGCATCGTCTAGATTGGTTCATTGAAAATATATGATAAACTCTCATTATAATTTTTCAAATTTTGGTTTATGCAAAGAATAGAAAAATTTGTTTCTTATACTTTATGAAGACATGTAATCATAATATAATATGAATTCTAATAAACTTCAATCTAGATGTGGATATTTAAGTCAATCATTTATTTTTAAATTTGAGAGATTTTTCTAAATGAATACGTGTTAGCAGATATTTGCATTAGATCTTTCTTGTTAAATTCTATTCACTAGAAAAAGATCATTAGATGAAATTTCATGTACGGTAGATTGAAGTGAATCGTTGTTAATCGTTAATCCTTTCAATCGCCATAGATGTATTTCTGCTGTTTTTTTCTCATTTAACGTAGTAATGACAAATATAGACTAAATAGATCCATCATGAATACATTTTCTTTTTATTCAGAAGACTCACGTCAAACATAACTTTTATTCTATCAAAATGTCTGATAAATTTTATTATAATTAGCTTAGATTGTATTCCTTGAAATAAACTTTTATGTAAAAAAGCAAATATTTTCTAAATAGAGAATGATACTCACATTCTTCTTATCGTAAACTCTAGTTCGTTAATGTTTCATGAAATACTTTCAAATATTAAAGGTAAAATGATACCATTTAAATAAACCTCTTATCAAGATCAATCGAGGCGTAATGCACACAGGTAACAGCCATTTCTTATCATTTATTTAAAATTGTTGTGCAATATTACAGAATTTCTTTTTTTACTGCAACTTGAGTAGTCAACTAAATGTGCTATAAAGAAAATGCATCTTTCTCTTTGTCATGTGCGTTTTATTTATTGCAAATAAATTGAGAGTTTTACACTACACTCCAGCAGCTCCATTACAAACGTACACCCAAAGTGAAAAGGAAAGATTTTTTAATGGACAAAACTGAGAAACAAAGAAATTTCACTATGAATTATATTAAATAATAAAGAAAAACATAATGATTTTCTTTGAAATAAGTCTTATCGATTTGATAAAAAACATCAGATTTTAATTAACTGATATTTTTTATATCAAATAGAAATATTTCTAAAAAATGATTGAAAAATTTCATTTTGATTTAAAAAAAACAAATTTATTATTGAATTTAATGAGAATAATTCGACCAAATACAACAAAAGAATTGATCCTATTAGATACGACGACTCAAATTGAAAAGTATATTCTGTTGCTAATGAAATTTTATTGAATTGTTGAAGACTTTATTTTATCACTTAGTTTCTGGGAGAGAATATTGAAAAACATTTTTACCGATCACCACAATGTAATAATGTTAACAGAAAAATCAGTTTGTTACAAACAGAAATAGAAAATGAATTTTATACAACTATGAAACATTCTAATTTTTTGCTAGATCTGTATTTCAAATTTACATAAACATACTTAGATTATATATTCAACAATAGAAAAAAAGGACAATGTTTAAATTATTTTATTTCAATCCTTTATTCTTTCTGTTTTTGTCGTAATCGGTTCAAGTTGGGGTGTTGGTAGTGGGTGTGAGTGTGGGTGTATAGATATCTTCTCATCCACACCCACACCCTCTGTTAGATTTATTTTCAAGAAAAAAAATTTTTTAACTGTGTCCACAAGTTGGATATATCTACACTTGGGAAAACATATGTATTAGTTATCAAATTAAAATTTGTTCTGTCTTTCACTACCATTCGAAGTTTTGCTACGCTCGTCTTCGAAAAATTACATCCTTGAATATCGAGTTTTTTCAGCGACTGATTGTGTTTGAACATGTTAACAAGAGAATCGATACTCGAATCTCTTATCAAATGATTCATGGAGAGATATAGTTCTTGGAGTTTTGTGTTGTGTTGAGCAAGCACATTGGCCAACAGTTCCACTCCCCGATCGCCTATTTTGTTTTCGGATAGTTTGAGGCACGTTAATTTTGAGTTTACCTTTAGCATTTCAGACAGATAATATACACCCTCATCTGTAATGATGTTCGCGTCAAGATCAAGGACCTTGAGATTCGAACTATTGAGAGAGAGTATTTGTGCAAGATGATGAACACCTGTGTCACATACATGATTCTCTGGAAGTCTCAATTCTTTCAATGTTGAATTGTTATGCAAAGCATTGGCTAGAATTGAAATGCCCTGTGATGTGATTTCATTGCCCCATAATTCGAGTCCTGTACACTGCTTTTTAATAATCGCATGTTCAACCAAAATCTGCATGTCTTGATCATTTAATCGTTGAAATTGAAAATCAATTCCAGATCCAGCCTCACATTTTTCAAGATACTCTTGAAGTTTTAGGTTGTTATAAGGTATCATAGTCATGATTTGGTCACACTCAGGGTGCTTCGTTCCTGCCGGATTGATGCAGCTGATCGGAATAGGTGGTATGTTTGGAAGATAAACAGACGACGTTTGAATTCCTTCAGATGAAGCTGTGAATGTATCAAATGGAGATGGTAACGTCTGTTGTTGATCATCAATCAAATTAGAAAAGTGAAATATTGGATCCATGGATGACTCGTTATTCGATACCATCGTGTTTCAAAAAATAGGTCGCAAAATTTCGGACTAAATTTGATTTTTTCTAAAATCATCATAAAAAATTAATTAAATACAATATTTTTTGATTATATTTGAGAAAATAATTAATTTTAATGGATTGACTTCATGCAAATCGCTTTTATTTCACGAAATTTGAGTAATTAACTAAAAACTGAATAGATTTTAATCAAGTTTTCATTAATGAAACTATAACCGATTAAAATCCATTTTATTTCAAGAAATTCAAATAACCCATGATAGATCTAAGAGATCTTAACTAGCCTCTGTTTTACTTTATCGATATAGACTTTGTTCAGAAAAGTGTCAATCGATTATAAAAAGATTAAACAATTGGAAATAGTTTTGCATTTTATCGAGTAAGGTGGATATATTTTCACGATGAATGTGTAACTCAATAACGCACGTTGGCAGAGCAGGTTATACTTCGATCGGAATCTGTTAGATTCTCTTTCATCCAAAATCTCCTACCCACTAAAAACTAATAGGCTGGAAGGAATCAAAAGAACCTAGATCTGTATCAGCTAGGTTAGTAGTGTTAGTAATCCTATTTTAACTTGTTAATTGATATGATGGACAAGATAATATAAATCCAGATGATGAAATGTATTTAATCATGTAATACGAGTGATCACAATAACAAAAAATATCAACTAAACGAGAGAAAGACTTATTTATAAAGCTGAACCAAAGAGAGAGAGAGTGAGAGAAAAGAGAACAAAAGAGAAAAAGAAAAAAAGATATATATATATATATTCATATGTTGGGAAAACATCGAACCTTACATAGGTCACGTAAAGGAGAACAAAAGAACGGAAAAAAAGATTAGAGACAACAATGTAATATCTGTTGATGTCAACAGAATCCATGTAAAAAAAATCCGAAAAAGTCGGATTATATTTGAGAAAATAATTGATTTTAATAGACTTTCTTTTTCGAAATCGATTAAAATCGATTTTATTTCAAGAAATCGATATATTCCATTATAAGTTCCATAGACTTCAATTAACTTTTTATCAAT